TACGAGTCACTCCGTTCAGACGGCGGTAGTCTACGCACAGGCAATGACTGCCATCTTTCTTAGGCACCAACACAATTGGAGACGCCCAGGCGCTGGACGAATGGCGAGCAATGCCAGCTGAAAGCATCTCGTCCAGCAAGCCGTCAATTACTTGCCTTTTGGCCTAGCTGACGGGCCTGGGTTTGCACTTCAAAGGAAGTGCGTTGCCAGTTTCGATCGAACGGCTCACTAAATCGGTACAGCCGGGTTGATCGGTGAAGAGCTCATCGTATTCGCGTAACAATGCCGACAGACGAGCCTTCTGTGTATCCTTCAATTGAGTCGCACAGGCGATCAAAGGATGCGGAGCTTCTTCGTGTCGCTCTATCCCAATGGGCATTGTGAGCCGACGAGTGCATAGCGCAGGGGCCTGCGCCCGAAGTTTGCACGTGACACAGTTGCGACGCTTCAACTGCACAGGCAACAGAAAGCACCGGTGGGCTGATGAACGGCGTTAGCTCGAATGAAGGTCCGTCGCGATAGCCTCCATTCGCAATGTCCACTACGATGCCGGTTTTTAGGAGAAAGTCCCGACCGAGAATCACAGGAACACCGAGCCCTGGAAGATGAACGAAACGCGCGCGTCTCATTCGGCCTCCCCATCTGACAGTCAACCTCGCGGCACCCGCCGACTGGGCCGCGCCTTTCGCGAGGGTGATTGTCGTTCGGCTGTCCCGCAAGCGCACCGAGCGCTTCTGCAAGTAGGACAACACCTGTTCGCCAAACAACGAAGCGCTTGTGCTCGTGTCCAGCAACGCCGAGAATTTGCGACCGACAATGGTGACCGAAATAAACGGCGCGTGCGCACCAGAAAGACTGCTTGCCCAGTACGCAGAGGGGAGAAGCAAGGGTTCGGCCGCTCGTGCCTTCACGAATGGCCCACGCTCCCGTTTTCCTGCCTCACAGGGGGCACACACGCGGAGCACTCCCTCGCTATGTGCCCTCGTTGACGGCAGCGGAAGCAGCGCACTCCATCGCGATCCCTTTCCCGAGACGGAGCAGCTTCGAGCTGCCGGGGTCGGTTCGCCGCGTGATCAAAGGAACCGCTCTGACGACCGTTACCACCGGTGATGCGCTGGGTCGGATTTCGTCCCTGCTCGCGCGTGTCGAGTTGCGATGCAGCACCGGCTGCACGCCTCCCGTATGTGTAGGGATCTAAAGCTCGATCACTTATTTCCCACGTGCGCCCACCTGTAGCGGTAGCCGCAAAGGCAGCTCCGGCGGGTTGTTGCTGCTGAAGAAGGGCCATGGCCCCTTCCCATGCGCAGCGCGGTTCGAGGGCCTCGCTGGCTCGCGGTGGTGGGCGATAGGAACGCGCGGCGAGAATGTCGCCTTGGATGCGCTTTGCTTCGACGGCCAATTCCTCCAAATCACGAAAGCGACTGCCGTGCAGGTATGCCGAAAAGGTCGGGTGTGCCTGCCTAATCACCCGTTCGACGCGCTCCTCGTTCGAGGCTCTGAACTCGGCGATAGAAAAAAGGTCTTTCATCACGCGTACGTACTCTTGAAGCGACTCATCAGGAGCTTGTGTGCGGAGCTCGAGCTCGCGCCGCATCCTACTCTCGTAGTCAGCGGGTAAGAATTCGTGCAGGAAGGCCGCGCGGAACTCATCGAGGGTTGCTGCTCGGTGGCCGGAAAGCCGATGCCACCTGGCCGCCGTGTCTGTCAGTGCAGCCGGGACGGCGCGTCCGAGCACTTCCTGGTCGTCTAGACCCACGGCTTTCTGATAATGTGTGAGGGAGTCCAGGTAATCTCTTGCACTTTGCAGATCACCATATTCGCTGTAGGTCGGAACGGCCAACATGACAGCAGGATGAGGGCGTTTCGGAACGGCCGAAAGCCTTTGGACCGCCCCCGTGAGTGCCTGAATCATTTGGGCAGCATTTTGCAGCAGCGTCTGTGCGCCCGCTTCAAAGGAAGCTGTCGGTGCATTAGCGGCGCGGGCGAGCGATGGGGAACTGTCTCCGAGCTCGATAAGCGGGACGGTTTCGAAATGGATACCGGCTGTCGCGACATTGGGGAGTGCCTGTTGTTCACAGCTGACTCTCGGGGCAGCTTCACGTGAAATTGCTAGGCCGCTTGCGGCTAGCGGTGCAGGCGCGTGCTCGAAATGAGCTTGGCTGCTAGGTTGCGTAGCAGCCAGCGGGCAAAATTCAGCAACGGCTGAGGCCGCGGTGCCGATCTGCGCCCCGGAAGCTCCACTGAGAGCCGTTTCGGAGCGCTGTGACATGGAACTGCCATGCATTCCAAAGAAAGCAGTTGTAGTCCAATTTGCCCTTGTGCACTGTTCGGGTTGGGCTATGGCCCCGGACCCAAAACACGCTACCTCTCTAGTGGGAGCTGATACGTAGCGCCTCGTGTCATCCCTACTGCGGCTTGTGACAAGTGAGGGTGCGCGATTGTGATGCTCAAGGGGGGGCACTGGCCCTGTTCTCGAGCAATGCGGTATCTGCTAAAAGCGTCAGCGGACAGAACTCACGCGGAGCAGACATAACGCGGGTAAACGCGGCGAGCCTGATTTGCAAAGGCGGGCTGACTCGGCTAAGACTAATCAAAGGCTTAATGAGCCTTTGATACCGCTTTGGGCACCAGTCTGGTGATCCCGCTACTAACTGCAGCGGACGATCACAGCGGGTTCACGCTTAGCGAGCCACAGGGCCGCTACTCCGTTTACTCGCGTGTAGCGCACCGCTCCGCGCGCGCTCAACTAATAAGGCGTTTAACACGGCGCAGCAAATAAACAGCGTTCTAATGCAAAAATACACAACACTTTATTGCCTCTGGCGGCACCCCGAAGAACAGTACAACGTCCGCTCCCGGGACGCGGGTAGCAAAGGCACCAGCACGCGGACATTCACAATAAGGGGAAAACCACGAGCACGTCGCAGCTGGCAATGGCGAGCTTTGACACGCCGGTCGGGAAAAGGTCCCTCGCGGCTATGCTGCGCACTCTCACGATGGCCAATGAGCCTGGTCGCGAGTGTTAGGGCAAACCTCATACGCGTAGGCCTACGGCAAGTGCGGCTCGTTGCGGTACGACCACTTCAAGCACTAGGCACCGCTGATGGGCTTTGCGTACGCTACCGAAGCTAGCACTCAAGTAAACACGCGTGCCGAGGTGCCCAAGGCCACCCCAGGCAGGCTACAGTCCGGCGATTCCCAAAGGGGACGCGGACGAAGGAAAACACGTGCTTACCCGGCGCCGACCATGGAGAAGGAGCTCTCCCTCTGCGCGCGCGTACCGTGTGCTGTTCCAGCACGTGGCGCCATCTATTGCCACGCGTCGTTATCAGAGCAGAAAAAGCAAAAGGTTGTGGCCGTGTGGCGGAATGCCCGCGAAATGATCGCAGGCGTGCCTCAGATCCCCACAATATTAACTGTAGAATGCCAATAACTATCAAGAAGTGTGTATAATACATTTAAATGACCAAAAAAATTTTAATGTGAGAAGTGTTAAATGCTCAGCCCATACTATTTGCTTATTTTAAGTTTCTAATAATTGTGTGCATGATATGTTCTAAAGGAGATAATTGCACTCTTCACATGTTAAGGAATATGTGGCGAAAATATCACTTTGGTCTGGCCATCAGAAGTACCAGAAACATGATGTCAAAACTTAGCATGTTGCGCAAAATTGCATCTTGGCAAAAACATATTTTAAATGTAGAAATGAACGCTCATCTATGTGGCTAACCACGAACCAATTAGCTCAGCTTTCTGTTATTGTAAATGTATTTACTCATTTTGAAACTTCGAAATTTCCAGTAATTGAAATTTGAATAGAAGCAAATTTGAATACGTTAATATTCGTTGAAATATTTGCACAAGCCTGCATTTGATGCATTGTAGTACCATGGGCATGTGTAGGGCGAGGGAGGGGGTGGTCATATTCCTCTGCACCTCATCATGGTGTCCAGCCAAAAAGGGGGTCCTGAGAATTTAGCCTAGTCTTGGTAAGCACCATGCACCCCTTGGCTTCTGCTTTGCATAGATAGCATTCTGAATGAGCCACCCCTGGGAATGCGGTAGTTCCGTTTTCCACTTGCCATCCTCTCCCAGTCTGCATCTCTCTGTGCACTGCTGCCTGTGGAGAAGTTTTACATGACATGTTCCGTGCCGCCGTCATGTGACTTGGCATGCTGTAACAATGGATGCTGGACAGTGGACTGTTTTTTATTCTCAAAGCCTCGCAGGCTTCAATTGATGTACTGTGCGAAGGGTGGTAGTGTAGTAGCAGAGTATTTTTGTTCACAAAAGTGGAAGCAAAGCAAAAAGTGTCATGTGAATCTAAGCACACTGCTAAGGTACATAAATAAAACAAGATGTTAGATAACATTTAGCAGGGCGCAAACGTGCCATACAACATGCCTACGTGTAGGTCTCATTACTATGCTCTAGTTAGCAAGGAGCTCGGGCACGGTTTGATGGTAGATGGAAAGTCGGCCTCTGTGGAACAGTGGCTGGGGTGCTCGGCTGCTCACCTGAAGGTCGCACGTTTGATCTCGGCCGGGGTGGTCACATTTCGATGGCAGCAAAATTGTAGAGGCCCGCGTACTGTGTGATGACAGTGCATGTTAAACAACACCAGATGGTCGAAATTTCCAGAGCCCTCCACTACGGCATCTCTCGTAATCATATCGTGGTTTTGGGGCTTAAACACCAGATATTATTATTTATTTATTGAAATACTCTTAATGCCATTTGTGGCGTTACAGAGAGGAGGGGTGTTACAAGTCGGAAATGGCAGTCTTGAATGATGCCTGATCAGGGTCGCTGGCGGTGGAGACAGGAAGGTGGTCCCATTCAGATGAAGTCTTGGGCACGTAGGATGGAAGCAACTTTTTTCGTCATTGCCACGTCCTTCTTTTTTGGCACTTTTTCCCCTCGTGAGCCATGTGAAGCTTTTGCCTTAATATGAGCGAATATTTGTTGGTGAACAGCTGCTGCTTGCTGTGATGCAGGCACATGTGTGTGATGGACAGCCGACAGTAGCAGTGTCAGTGCTGCATCTGCTGTCCCAGCACCTGCACCAGCAGTGCCAGGGAGGGAACCCACCGGCTGAGCTGGCTCCACTGCGGCTGCAGTTGGTGCAGACAATGGTGGCATTGCGCACGAGCGCCCTCTATCAGGTGGGCCTGTACGATCCTGCTACAGGGCAGGCGACCTTCAGCCGACAGCTCACCTGCACCTTCAGGTTAGCTCATGTGAGCGGCCAATGCTCGTAGTGAGCTTTGTGTAGTACAAACAGCAAAATCTTGTTGGGCATTGGATCCACAACAAATGCGAATTTCTGCTGTATCAGTGCTTAATGGTCGTAATCAGCTGGTGACTGCATAGGTTGGAATGACAAGTGCAGTATGGAACATTTATTTCAAAATTGCATTCCCATACAAAGCAGGAATTTAGCTTCATCGAACATTTCGCATCCTGCAAGCTTTTGCTGTTAATAGTGCATTTTAAAAAAGAGCCACAAAAAGTATTCTCAGTTTTTATTATTGTTTACACTGAAGTTATTTTCTCACTGTGGCATGCCACACAACAGTTCTGGCATGCAAGATTCCAAAATTTATTTGATTTAATTGAACTTCAGAAAAAGGAATGTGTGCTTCAAGCAGTATTTTACTACCTGGACCGCATACTTCAGCAGGTAGCACAAGAAACAGATGTAAGCAAGAAACACGCGTGAGACGAGCCCTAACTTCAAACTAAAGTTTATTCTTAGAATTCAAGCCTATTCATCACTCACCAAAGATCAAAAGACCACATTATCGCCCTATAATACCTGGTCCTGCTTCTACAGCATTAAAGGATAACAACACGTCGCATCTAGACCCTTTCAGAGATCACCTATGAAGAACTGTCTGTAAACGTGTCAAATCGATACAGCATTATGTCATGGTACTTCGTGGTCTATTTCCATAAAAGTAATGCCATAATATGTTAATTTATGTGTGTCATAGTAACTAATTCCATTTAGTTATAATTAAATATTTTATCTTAAAGTCATTGACACTGTTCTTTGATGTAGATAGATTGAAATCTCAGTTTATATATATACAGTTAAATCTGCATTTAACAAGCCTCCGTATAACGAATTTTTTGATATAATGAAGTTTTTCTATTCCCCACCGTTACCCCATAGAAGCACATGTATTCACAGCCTCTATGTAACAAAGTAACAGCGCGAGACATCCTTGATATAACGAATTTTCGTCACGGACAGTCTGGAATCTAGCCCTGAATTTTTCCATTTTGTTACGAGCATGCATCTTCTGCAGTTGCCCTTCCGCCGATGAAGGGCGACACAGCAGCGACGCGCTTGTGATTCTGGCGACTTCCACGCGAAAGCGAGCGCTCATTATTGCGCGCGAGTGTGCACGAGGCAGGCCTGCGCCCTACAAGCCAGCGTTGCCGCTGTTCTTGTCACCGTGGGTGCATGTGCTGATGATTTCTCTCCTCCCTCCAAACCAAAAAAACAAAACAAAACTACTTTTGCGTTGGCAGGGGCACGCGTTTAGATAGCGTGACATGTGGGGCTGCGCTTCACATGGAGGGTGCTCTACCGAATAGTTTTTCGCAGTATTCCTGTCCTGTCCGCTCTTTGTTTTCGACGCTGTGCGCTCATATATGGTGTGGCCTCAGACGACATTCAGCTTTGCCTTTTTATTTATTTTTTTTCATGCGGGCAGTTGGGTCGTCACTACTGAGGGGATGTCAGATAAAGTGCTGATGGAAATTTTCCGAGACCACGGGGATAACAATGGATATTCGAAAGTTGTCTTGTCACGCGTTTTCATCTTGCGCTGTGCCGTGAGTTTGCGGGACCGTAAGGGCCCTTCGATCCGGCAGCAGTTCAGCGGGGGCAGCACCTTCCTCCTCGATTTGCTGGTGCCGCAGGCGCACTTTGTACTGGCTTCCTCGTTTCATCAAGGTGCTAGCGTAGTGCGGCACGAGTTCTCTGCTGGCCTGCACTCAATCGAGAGGAGGTGCAGTGAGGTGCAGCATGACATGCGCCCTTTCCTCCTCCCAAGCTTGGAGCAGATGATGCTGCGTGTTGTTCAAGGCGTGAGTGCAAAAACGATTCAGTTAATTAAGCTTTTGCCATCGAAGGGTAATCTTAGCCACGTCTTTTTAGCAGCTATTAACAGGTCTTTTTACATGTATGTCTCATGAGCAGAAAAATCCACCGTGGTTGTTGCAGTAAGAATCGTAAAAAAAAGGTTATCAGTAATAAAGGTATAGCTCGAAGCACTAGCAGTGTGCTCACTTCGTCTTTTTGAAAGCGTGAAGCCATTGCGGCAGGCAGCCTTTGAGGAAAACTGTTGAGTTAAAACATGTATTCAAGGGAGCTTGGGTACGTGTTTTAATGATATAGTGGGAAGAAAACTGCCCTGTCGGTCAAAGAACCCCTTATTTTTCACTTTTTCTTGCTCTATGGCTTTGCACGCACTTCAATAGAAGGCCGAACTAGTATGGGATTAACCACTAAGTCGTCGTTCTATACAGTCTTAAAATTCTCTTGAGATTATACTAATGGAACCTTCTGACAGCGTTCCTGTACCCAGAAACATGACTGACATTTTCACATACAACGAGCAGGTGACCAATTAAAACACAAGCCCTTCAACACCCCCTCTGTTGCTGTAAGGATTGTTGTCAGAATCATCAACATTGTCGAGAAGTTTTTTTATATGGCAGATACGAAGACAGCCAGTTTTATGGTAAATAGCATGGTCGATACACGCTGCATTGGCTATTCGATCAACTCGGCCTTCACCATTGGTTTGGACTTGCACCTCCATTTTGGCAATAGTCACCGCGCTGTAGTGTTGCGGCTGCTCCTGCATTTGCTGAACCAGTGCTGCTAGGGAGCCTTTATATACATACTCCTCCCGCTCGGTTTTGGGGTGGTGACATCTTGAACAGTGCAGCTGCTAGTAGCTACCAGATTTGGCAGGCAACCCGGTTGCCATCCATAGTCGCCGCTAAATTTGGCAGGCTGTCATGCAGATTCTCACTTGTGGGTCGGTGGCTGTGATACTCCAACGAAAATTTTGGTTGGCATGCAGAGCTAACATACATCACTCTCTAATACATGAAGGTTGGCATTTTCAACAGCCTTCACGGCCGTTTCACTGAAAATTTTTCACATATACGCTCATTTTGTAATCGCACAGGTCGTGTTGGGCCGTAAGCTGCTCGACAATGTTTTCATAGTTGTACCGTCCGAAATGTTTGTTCTCCTGGCATTGTGTACCCATATATGCAGGTAACGTGTGTGGTCGTCACAGAATGCTTCGGTTATTCCAAGAAGTGCTGCTACTTTACGGGGTCATGTAAAGGAATATTGCTCTTGTCAGAAAGGCTCAAGACTGTATGAAGCAAAAAGTTTGTATAAGAGTTTTTCAATGAAAACTTTGGCTTTCGTCCTACGCAGTCTAACTTGACAGATAATTTCAGTATTGCTGTAAACAAGGCATTGTTCTCACCTGCACTGGACATTTTCGTTCGTGATGAGCAGAGACAAAATTAGTAAGGGCTGTAGGCAGCCTTGATTACTATAGATTGTTTTAAACATTACATGTAAACTAAGTGAATGAAAGAACTCAAAAATTCTAAGAGGAAGCATTTAATTTAGAAGCAATGAGATGATACAGGTACATGGCTGTTCTGAAAAAGAAAATTTACAGTTATTGTGCTCATTTGAGATGCTTTTCTGAAAATAAGCTTACGAGAGTAATGCCTTATTCCTAGTGCCGTGGAAATACAGCAGCTTCAGGATAAAAATACTGACGTAGTAAGTGCAACGCAGGCACAATCAATCTCCCCGCTTTCAAGCGAGTACTTGAAGGTATGCATGTAATATTCACTTATAATTTAATTAAATGCAACTTCACAATCAATCTTTGTTATGCAAAATTGTTTTGTTGTGCTATCAGAAATACTTTTTTTGTCATGAATCCCCAACAAGCCCCTTCAGCCACCTTTGTGTCTATACAGATGCATTTGAAAAACCACAAGCTAAAATTAAAAAGAAAACAATGAATTCACGCTTATGCAGATGTCACCTCTGAATAAAGGTTTCATTTGTCCCCATTGCATGACTGAGAAGCTCTTCAGGAAAAGCAACTTGCATCACATAATGTTTGTGCAATAGGTCATAGGTGGTATCCACCTCGAGCAACACTGTGCTCCCGCAGCCTAAGCTTTGGCTATCCGCACAGCATGCGAGCAATGCAGAGAAGCCACTGCTTCCGACCGCCATGGCTAGGGTCATGTACACATGTGTGTGCCTCTGCGTGATACTAAAGTTGGGCCGTTTTTTGCGCTCACCATCCGTTATCTCGTTTGATTGTGCCGTATTTGTGTGCAAACATCACACAAAATGCAAGTGTGACAGACTTGAAAACTCAAGCCAGTTAAATTTTATTCCTTGCCGAACATTATTCGCGGTCACGTAGCCGTATACTGCAGGTTCCGGCGAAGCGTCGTGGCGAGTGATTCAGCCGTCTTTGCCAGGCTAATTTTAATAAGGCTGTGGGGTGACTGCTTGAGAGTGGTTCACCTGCCGATGGAAACTCAGTTGAGTTTAGATTATGATAGACTTGCGTAAGTGAGATGCGAACGGAACTCGAAAATAAAGAAATCGCAATAATGCAGTGAATTGAGTCAGTTTCAATGCTCTGGCAGAGACATCTGTGGAAAGCACAACACAGCGGAGCACTAAACGTCGGACTATTTAAATTAATACATGCGCGGTACGCTACAAGCTTAAATGAGAGGCACACACTTTTGCTTTTCTCGCCTAAGTGAACTGGCTCAGTACACTTGTGTGAAAGCACAGGTGGCTTCTAACCTTGGTCTAGTGAATAATTTAGTGCTCCTGATATTTTTCATTCGATTGATCAAATCTGTGGGTGAGCCAACCACTTCGAAATTTTAGTCTCGTGTGCACTTTACCACAATCTAATCTGTCCCATGCAATGGTGTTTTCACGTGCAAGTTCGTAAGCGCTGTAAAGCCTGCTGCTTCAACTAGATTCGTAAAACATCGCACTAGTATCAAATTCATGGGCAGACTCGACTTTAGCGCTTATAGTAGATGGAATATAACTTCAGGTTATCTTACCTTTGCGCCCACAGCGACCCAGTCACCGTCACTTTTCAGCGAAGGTTCGTGGACAAACCCATTTGT